TAAGTTAATGTTTGACATTCCATTAGATTATTAAATTAAATTACAGGCAGATTTGTTGGTTTTTTTTTTAAATGCAGTGTCAAAGGTGATTTAGGTAACTTTTACTGCACTTCTGGGAGAGTTATTTCAGATTGATTACCGTATGTGCTGTTTGGAAATTGTTTGTGTATCGTAGGTGTGTATGTAACTTTACAGCTATGTCAACATATTTTATATTAAAATTTTATATGCAAATTACAGCTATATAATTTAATGGGCTATTCTTTTTCTTCTTATTGCATCTCCAGCCGTGCATCCAATGCATGCAAAGCGATTTCTTGGTTTATGAGACTTAAAACCATTCGACCACCAAAAAGCTGTGAATTAAATGCAGTGCAAGTAATGACAACATTTGTGCCAGCATATCAAAGCAGAAAGAAAATTGCACAGCCTCTCAAATATCAAACTTTGGGGTTGATTCATTCGATGGGTCTGTGACCTGACAAGGCAGTATGATTAATTGCATACGTATTCCCTCGGAGGTTTTCCCGCTCATGCTTTCTGCAGCAAAGATTGTTAGCTTGACAGATCAACGTAGCAACCTCTTAAGATGCCAGAAAGGGAAGGGGTTGGTTTCTGATTGAAAGTTAATGGAGGAATAGCAGCTGCTCCATGCCGAGAGAGAGAGAGAAAAAAAAAAAGAAAAAAAAAAAACAACAGCTTTTAGTTCTCAGAGAAATCACACGCAGAAATAAACTGATTTTTTAATAACTCCAGCTATAGGATTTCTGTCAGGGACTGTAAGAAAATATTCACATGATACAATAGGCTTCGTAATTAGGAATTCTGCTTTGCGTCCTTTCATCTGATTACCTAAATATAAGCCATGGCCTGAATTTTTTTAATTTCTTGTTAAACGCTGTTCTAGGTGTCTCCTTTTGCACGTGTTTATTCTTGGCTTTAGGATACTTTCAGCCATTTAGGCTAAAGTTTGCTGAAACACGGATTTGGTAGGCAGCTCCTGTATTTGTAACGCTGAGCAGAGATGCTCGCACAGCACGTTCCGTCTGTTAACAGGCAATCCGCACTGGCCTGCCGTCCTACCAGACTCACACAGGTGTCCACTGCCCACTTTAAAATAGGTTTAATTTTTCAAATAAGGCCTAAACCCCTACCAACCCACATTAAACACTTCCTCAAGGTTACTTAATCCCTACACCTTATCTATGAAAGGGTTTTAAATATTAACCAGTCTTCTTTCCCCTTTCACATTTCCTAGCTGGACTCTGATGGGCTCACACATGCTCGATGAATTCTTCGGTGTAGCATGTGAAATGAGCCAAGAAGTCCCTCTGCAGAGATCCCTGCTCCTGCGGGGATGGCACCGCAGCCCTGGCTCGGGAGCGGAGGGCTCCCGGGGCAAACAGCAGTCGGGGAACCCGGGGCGGCAGCATCAGAGCTGGGCTGGGCAAGGGCAGGCTGAGCCGAGGCGGCAGATGCACGGAGAGCTCTCACGCCTCACCGACATCCTTGCTCTGATCTAGGACAAATCCCTCAAAACACACCTGGAAGCGCAAGTTTGGAAGCTCAGACCTACGCTACCTCTCCACTGCATCTCCCAGTTTGCACCCTGCGGCGCTTACTGAAGAGCCCAGCTGGTAAAAGCCCTTCAAATCCAGCAGACTGTGCTGGATCCCTGTCAAAGGGCTACGTTTACACCAGAAATGACAAGTAACGATCTTTAAAAATGGCCCTGGACACCCCCACGGCGTCCCCTTCGAGCGTTGAACTAAGCTCCTCATTCAGCAGTTAAATTTTCTAATGCATTATGAAATCTCACCTTTCTTTTACCGGCAACACAGAAACACACAAAGCAGGAAAACTGCAACAAAAAATGCTCCTATTACTTCAACTTTTAAAACGAGCCTAAGAAGCTGACCAAGACAGATACTGTATAAACCAAATGATTTAATCGCACCACATGAAAGAGAAGGCAGGTCTGACTGAAGCGGAGCAGCAGACAACACGATGGAACAAAATTCCTCAAAGCAATAGCATACGAATATTGAAGAAAATGCAAAAGCTGACTCTGCAGATGGCTCTGGAAAAAAGCAGCCGCTCTGGCTGCGAATACGCTTCAGAGAATATACCTCAAAAAATGGAAACCCACAAAGCCAAGGGGAAATCGGTGAATAATCAGCTAGAAGGAAATCCCCAGCTTCCACTATCAAGTATGGGGATTAGAAAGACATTTCAAATCAACGAGATGTAGGTTTGGATAGAAGAGTGAATTTTAGCTTCCCCCCCCCTGCCCCCCCCTTGGCATCACGTACTGCCGTGCCAGGGAGATACCTACTGCCTGTCTTTGGATGCCAATTTAGATGTTTAACTTGGGATGTTAATCTCTCTGCAAAATGATTTAATACCATCTTTGTAACCATTACTTACTTCCAGAGGCCTTTGCAAATGGCGTTTCTAACAGATTTAAAGATATGATTGCTGATCAAGCGAGCTGCATCAACTCAATTCGCTTCTTGCCTTTTGCTCGGAGAAGCAGCTGTACGATTCAGTCACAAAAGCTTCTGGAGCAAAGCTAGAGCGGATTTTGTTAATCTGGATTTGTGAGCCCCAAGCTACTGGCTTAAAAATCCGTGATGAATCTGTGTCACCGTGTATTTCCTTCTCCCTTGGGAAAAGAAAGATTGCATAGATGCAGAAAATCAGGGTCATTTCCCTTGCCTACCAGAAGTTACCAAGGGGAAATAGAGGGGGAGAACTTGCCACCGCCTTTCCCGGATAACCAAACCACCCCACAGCAGCAGCTTTCTGTGATCTGCAGTGTGAAAAAGTAATATATATCTAACAAACTAAAGTAATGACCCACCAAACCAGGTGCACGCGTGCAATGTTTCTGCAGGCAGTCGAGGCAAGAGAATCTCAGAGGATGCAGGCAAGGCCACGGCAGAGAGACACGAGTGAAACCAAACACCACGTCCTTTGCAGGACAGCACCTCCAGAAGCTGGCAGGCTTTCATCCGACACACTGAGCGCTCACAGCCTCTCTTCATCCAGTATATCCAGTGCTGGTTTTTACGGCAGGCTGAGATAGAGGCTACCTGTATGAGCCTGACAACAGGCACGTCCAAAGATGCTTGAACATACGCAACCAACACCAACTGGACCGTTCACACGGGGTAGCGAGCCAAGAAGCATCAAGTTCCTGCATCCCCAAACAGATTTCCTTAACTTCCTTCAAAGGAAGAGCTATCCCAGTGCGGACTGGGACCAGAAGACTCTGCAAAGGTCATTCAGCAAGTGAGGGGAGTGAGGAATGACCTCCGGTCACCCTGCTGCCCTCATCACTGGGCACCACAACGCCCACAATGCGTACAGATTTACAAAATAAGAAGCCTTACAGAAATCAATGCTTAAACATGCAATACGATTAATCTGAGACAGACACTGGGCAATACAAGCAGGTTTGTCACTCTGTCTTGTGCCAACAAAGCTTTCAGGCTTTCAGATCTAGCACTTCCCTCATCCTCGGGAAATACCTCTCCTACGTGTTAAAAGCACAACAAAACACAAGGTATTTAAACATAATACTAAGAATATCAGCGATTAGTACAATGAACAGTATGGTTAGAATTGCAGGATTGTTAATGTAGGTTAAAATGCTTTGCCAGTAATCACATACTGAGACTCACTTTCCCGACTGAGCCCCAGGGCTTTTCTTCTCTGCCACGCAGCAGCCGCCCGGGGACCAAAGCCCCGCAGCTGGTCCCAGGGGTGTCAGCCCCGCAGGGGCAAGGACAAGTGCCACGGAGCCACTCTGGTCCCAGCCCCTGACTACGGCATGCAATGGATGTGCTTGGGGATACTGCCAGAAATACAGAAATCTCCGCACTGAGCAAGTGGACCGGGGCCGGTATTCCCATTGTACGCAGTGAGGAGCTGGGACGAGCAGAGAAAGGTGACGGAGCGAGATGCCATGCCCAGTTTGCCTTGCATTTTCTGGAGCATCCCCTTGGAGAGGGACCCTGCAAGGAGCTGGCGTGACTGGGATGGGCAGTCCAGCAGCAAAGACCCACAGCCCTACAAAGACTTGATGTCCTTCTCCGGCCAACCCTGCAGCATCCCTGCAACATCCCTGTCACACCACAGGCTCCCCTCAGCAAGTGCTCATGCACTCCACTATTTGGGGAAATCGCTGGTAAAACATATTCATGTAAAACCACACCAAATCCCTGCTCCTTACAGTCTGAGAGTGTTTTGGTGAAGAGCATAACTGAGAGGGGGCAAGAAAAACTCTAGGGACTGAATACCACCGAGGCAATAAAGTTAGATCCAGTATTTAATCACCTTTTCCAATAATTTTGGAGAAGTATTTCTGAGAGATTTCTACATTTCTTCATAATGAACAGGTGATGATGAAAGATTTCATCTAGACAGAACTTAAATTTTGAATTTTAAAATGAAGTTCTACACAGTGAAAAAAGTCAAAATCAGCACAGTGTTATTTTAGTCTTAAAGCTTAAACAAACAAACAAGCAAAAAAACAACAAAACAAAACAAAGGTCAAAAAAAAAAATCCAAAAGAACCAAACTTTATTATTTTGGAAAAACAGTCTATCATAAAGTAAATATTTTAAATATTTAATATTAAACAATAGTAAAGATCACTTTGTGGAGATGAAATGAACGTCATCAGGGGTTTGTATAAACTGTCTCTCAATACTGCTAGGGCCTGGGTAGCTGCTCTTCAGGACTAACAGCGCACAACATATTTGGTGCAGTGTAGATTTTTTTTTTTTGGTAGAATATACTTATTTACTGTCATAGCAGAAGAAGCAATTAGCTGACATTTCATGGGGCCATCTCCCAAGAATAATCCTGAGGCAAGAGCAACTCCACCGTTGGAAGGAGGCGCAGCTGGGTGCCCTGCAGTCCTGCAGGTTTGTCATCTTGCCCCACTTGAGACCTTCTTGCAGGTTTTTCTTTTCCATCAGCAGTCTCGCCATTTACAAATGCTTCTTCTTTTTTATTGCCTCTGCCCTGACAGCCAAGCTCTTGGCACAGATGGTCAGGACCACGATGAGGACTCCAACCAGGAAGGTAACCAGAGGCCAGAGGAAGCAGTGCAAGAGGACAGTCTCATCATGGGTGCGCTTCAGCATCACATCATCTGGCCTGTGAAGAGGAGGAACAGAAGAGGAAGAAAATATAAATCAACTCGACATCATCAATTCATCATAAGTGGAAAGCATCTGCCATGGAAAAAATAAGTGTTTTATTTGCGACAGTGTTAGAAAATGATTTAAGTGGACCATTTCATTCTCTGCTTTCGTTTGCCCGTCTATCATCAGCACTCATGGCAGGTCACGAGGGCTTTCCACTTGCGGTGTTTACAGGCTGACAATTTCATTCAGATTAAAAAATAAATAAGTAAAAAAAGTGTTGGTACTTCAGGTCTTACAGGGGTCGTGGTCATCACAAACAGCCTCATGAGATACAATATCACAACTATGGATTGAAAAACAACTCCAGCAAAAACATAATACCAGGCTGCAGTTATACATATCTACCTCAAATGGCATCAGATACTGTGCAATGAGTTTAAAGCGCAATCAAAGCTTCCCTTTTAGCTTTGACCCCTGATGTGTTCATGGGGCTACATGGAGGCTCCTGGCTGTCGTTTGGGTCTGGATGGAGAGCCAGTCCCTGTCCTCAGTGCTGCATTGCTGGGGGCCCAGGGTAGCCCAGCCACACTGGCAGGCAGGGGGCTGCACAAAACCTACCCCCAGGAGGACTCCTGCCTGGCCCTGGGGTGCTGGGGGCTCCCGACTCAGCTCCTTCCCAGCAGAGGCTACTTCAGCGATAAGCTACGATTTGGTACTGCAAACACCAGCATCTCAGTGACCTTGAGTATGCTCCTAGAGGGACGCTTTGGGGAGCCTCCCCTGAAGATCTGAACCCCCATGCCTCTGCCAAGAGCATTTAACACCCAGTCACTGTTGGGTTTGTGATGGATTTATACATTTCCAAAGGGAAATGGAGGGAGGAGGAGAATAGCAAGGAGGAGGCATCTCAAGAGGTTTGGAAATTCAGCTGTGCCACATGTCTGAAAGATCAGGTGTCCGTCTGTCTCTTCCAAGTCTGGGAAGTTGGTTGGGAAATCTGACGGCAGGTTTTCCTCAGCTCTGGCTCTTTCTGCTCTCCCTGCAGCTTAACCATTATTAAATCAGTCTCGTGGCATTTGCACTTCGCTGTTGCCTTCCCATCTACAGCCAGAGACATGCAGTCTGCTGGAAAACTATCTGCAAAGGAAGGAAACAGAACTTTCTCTAACTAGGAAAATATACATAGTTTTGACTCATATTGGTCCTCACTTACATTGAACACTCTCATCCCATGTTGTTTCATCAACACCACTCGATGCTCCTTGGAGGAACAAACCTCAAGGTCTAACAGCCTGGCAACCCAAGCTCATCGAGCTGGGTCCTGGGAGTTGAGCTCTCCTAAGGCACGGGCACACGGGAAGAGATACCTGCGACGTGACTGTGCTGTCTCTCGCCCAACAGCTTCATCCTTGTCAGACAGCAGCACTAAGAAAACATTCCCTGTAGATGAAACAAGAAGAAACTCTTTTTCCTTCACTGAGAAGTTAACTAATGGAGATGTCTGCAAATCTACAGGGTTTTATCCATCCTTAAGGAGTTGGTGGACCCAGACCGCCAGGCTACATCTGATCCCTGGTGTAATTGCACCTGCATTTGCATTTGGGGGTCTCTCCCCCAAAACTGCTGTGTGGACGTTCCTCTGCACCCTGCCAGCCTGTAAGTCCCCAAGGCCAGCACCATGCCACTCTCTTTATTTGTGTAGTAAGGAGCAGAGTAAGTTGAAACTCGGCAACATAAAATAAGATCAAAAGAAACCCAGGTGTATTCAGTAGTGGAACATGTGAAGTCTGCTCAACCAAAATCCTCCAGACACATAATCAGGCATATGTGGAGACCATAAATTGAATAAAATAATATTAATTTTATGGGCACAAACTCACCAGCCTATGCCCTATAAATGACAGCACCCGAACAGAAAAATCCTTTCACAGGAGGTATAATACTGCTCCCCTCGTATTTACTGTGTCATCACCTGTGAGTAACAGAGTGCTAATTGGCAAGGAGGCCATAAGTAGGCGGCATTCAATCCTCACAGCTCCCAGTTTACAACTGATGTTTAATTTTAAGTGGTTTTTTTTTAAAGCAGATACTAATCAAATATTTCAAAAATAAGGGGCAAGCAAACAAACTAGAAAACTGGACTTAGTTAAAAAAGAAAGTGGGAGAGCAAGATGTCCTTTTGATTGAATCCTAGATATTTTGGAAAACATCTGTACCAAAGGTAGCAGCGATGGATGCCAAACACTCATTATAGGTGTGACTGTAACTCTTGCAACTTAGTAATTTAAAAGAGTTTCCCTTTTGAAAGAGTCAAAGACTTACAGAGGCCTTTAATGAAGCCTCAAGATGAGGTTTGGGTTCAGATAGATATTATTGCTGTTCTTAGCTACAGCAAGAGTCCCTGTGCAATTCCTACGTGGCAGAAGGTGTGCAGCAGTTCACTGTCAACTGCTCACAGCATCCCTTCAGACAGTGCATTAAGTCATGTCTGGGTCCCCCCAAAATACATCATTAGACGACTATTGTCACCACATTTAAAACATTAAATGCCATTCTTTAGTCAAGAGGAGGGTGACCTGGCACACAGGAGAGCTCAGGGACCCTTCAGGATGTAACCTCTTGGTACTGACTCTCAGTCCCCAAAAAATGGTGGGACAAATCTCAGCCTTGCTCCTACTTGGTTTAATCTGCATCATAATTCTGGAAGAATTACCATACTTTCAGCTGCTCTTTATCTTATCCCAGATTAACTTTCCAGTGCAGATAAGCACTGCTGGACCTCAGGAGTGAATGAAAAAAGTTAATAAAGGCAGGCAGCACTGACGGCAGATAGATTGCACGCTCCTGGATGGCAACATCCTGGTTACCTGCCTGTAACAGCCCATGGAAACTTAGCAAGATCACCTCTGGCAGCATATAATGCCATTTCTTTGCACTCATATGATTCCCTCCCTCTCCCATCAGGACCAGCTCCTCTTTCCTGCATCTGCTGACCCATGCAGAGATGTCGCAGGGCAGAGCACTGGGGAGCACTGGGGAGCACTGGGGCGGCAGGAGGAGGCAGCGGAGGATGGAAGCCTGGGCTCGGCAGTGCCCGGTTGAGGGTCCCTTCCCTGCAGATCCATTATCGGAGCTGACAACAGTTATGGAAAGTGCTCTGGAAAACAGCTTAGAGGGTGTAACGGCAGCAGAGGGTCCCACTGAGATGCAGCTTTTACAGCAGAGGGAAATACCTGAAGAGGGGTTATTGAAAAAGAAAATATTTACTACTTTCCTTTACAAGATAACTCCTTTTACCTCTGCTTTTTGGTACGGAGATTGCAAACAATGGCAAATAACACATTCCAGAGCAAGGAGGGAAAACCAGCCCCGCCGCACCCTCAGGACGCACTGCATGAGACCCTGAGCCCGCCGTCCTGCTGCCGCAGCCCAGGGCTGGTGCCGGCAGGGAACCCCTGCAGCTGAGCTGGCCAACGCGACCTGAGAAGGACCGTCCAGGCAGAGGAAAACACCTCTGACCAGGACAAACACCCCAGTGGCACACAGGTTATACTGGGCTTGCAAGTCCACGGCAAGAGCAGCCCGAGGAGCCGGGGTCGGGCAGCCAGATGTTCCCTGCAGCAGGAACGCCGCAGCCCCAGCAGCCCATGGCTCTGCAGGAGATGCGCAGAGGTAACCCCAGGGGCTTGGGGGGTCATCATGACCCCGCGTGCCGCGGCCTGCGAACGTGGTAACTGCGCTCATCCCCAGGTTTTTGCTTGCTCCTTGGAAAGAGGGGTAGGAAGGCATGAGGCGGGTGGCTAGCAAGCCGAACTTCCAAGTCTTGTCTCAGCGGCCAGGGACTGGCATGGTGGGCAGTGTGAGCGAGGGCCTAGGAGGCCACCTGGCTAAAAACCTGAAGCACGAACATGTTTGCCTTTGTTTCCAGGTGATCCATGCCACACTAAAAATCATAGGTATTTCACGTGAGAACTGTGAGGTCCAAAACAAAAGACTGGAGAAAAATCAGGAGCTAGAGGGAGTTAGAATCAGAATTAATCAGATGAATTAAATATAGCAAAGTCATTAGTGATTAACTAACAGGTTAGCCTACAGAGGCTGGATTTCACTTCTTCCAGGCTGTTTGTTATCCTCATGTGATGGCATCATAAAGAGCTATCCTCCACCTCCTGAAGAAATGAATTCTCAGGCAGAGCAGAATGGCCACCACCACCCAAGCGAGCCTCCAAAGGAACTGGTGGGGTGCACAGGGCCGCTGTCCTCTGACGTCTGAGTCTGCAGAGTGTCTGGGGACATCCCTGGGCCAACTCCTAAGTGACCCTGCAATGAACCCTGAGGCATAAGGAACAAAATCTGTTTGTTGAAAGTACCCAGAGCAGCAGCCAGGACTGCAGAGGCACTGCTTGGCCTGCGGGACGCACCTGCGATGCTGGGCGGCTCGCTGCAGCATCCTGCTTGGGGCTGAGTTGGTCACCGGGGTACTGCATCAGCCTCCCCTCGGGGATCACTGAGAGCCAAATCTGTCCTGCTGTCCCAGTACAAAAACCTTTGGCTTTTGCTCCAAGACTTACACAGTGATTAATAGAAGAGAGTTGCCCCGCATGTTTTTGAATCAGAAATACACACACAGAGATACTTGCCTTGCCAAGCACAAACGGAGAGCATCACCAAGAGAGCAAAGTCACTGACGGCGAGCTGTGAGGTTTACGTGGCCTGTCATGGTTCCTTCTGAGCCCTGAGATAATCACGACGGCCGCGGTGCGAGGTGAGAGGAGCCAGAGTTGGGATGTGTCAGCGGGGATGGACCCCCAGCGTGGTGCTGCACCACGATGGAGGTGGCCAGGAGTTCAGGAACCAGACACCCTACGGGGCCTTCAGGAGAATGAAGCTTTGGGTGGTTGTCACTTGCCCATGAAACAGAAGCACACAGCAGCAGAAAAATACTGCAGCCACCTTGGGAGCTCTAGATACAGGCCAAAGGAGCAGAAAGTTTTAGTTGAAATCTCTGGA